CATGCTGTTTCTCTTTCTGAAAATCATCATCATACTCTGGTTTAACATACATGTATTCAAGTTTTTTCATATCATTGGCAGAAATCTTTCGATTAACGTAGAAACTAACTTGGTAAATATAGAAGTCATAACGAATAGCAGACAAACTCTGCGAGCAATACGAACTTTAGAACTTTTGAAGTGGGTATTCTGTGTAATGACCTATCGGCTCATACGCTGCTCATCAGATTCTCATATGATTTCGTAAAGTGAGTAAACTGCTTTCATCAAGTGATACAATAATAAAATTACTCAGTGGTTGCAAGTCCTTCTTATGATCGAACAATACCTAGGATAATCCTAAGAGTTAAACCAGTTTTAAGGATGATACTCGCCCTAAAGATTCCTTGGTCAGTTTATTTTTCTCATTTATTCTCAAATCAGTAGGTGAGTCAGGATAAATCAACCGTTATTATTTCCTTCATGTTGTTGCCACTGACGATGGTATAATCAGACGCTAAATCTAGACTTAAATGTCCTTTCTAGTCTAATTAGCTTAGGACATCTAACCGAATGAATGAAGATGTGCAGTTCAAATTTCAATTAGAATGTTCTTTTCTTCATTTTATCTATTTATATATTTCCTTGCGCTGGAATCCTTTATGGCTGACATTTGATGCTTACATATATCTTTATCAGTTTTCATTGTGTCGGAACGGATTTCTTCGAAAAAAATTCAGTACTGAATTCTCTACGAGCTCATACAGAAAAGGTCAAGACAGATATAAAAGGGAAACCTTAAAATAATACTACGAGAGCCTTTCAACAATAACTTTCAAAGTATTTTCATTGATACTGGCTCGCATACCTTGATGGTACTACAGCACCATGTAAAAGATTCTACGTCCCTAGTGAAAATTCCTTCAAGGATTCGCTGTTTTTTCATGAGGAAACAACAAAATCCTGAAAGAAGCGTGTAGCCACTAAATCATCGGATCCTGTCAGGATTGAAACACGATTTCTTAATATCTTGTCAGGAACTGAGTGATTCTGAATCGAAAAATGTTTTTTTGAACATACTCTAGGATTTTGTTCGAAAAGTGCTAGGAATTTCGTTGGTTTTCTTGGCAGAATCCTTAGGAGATTTTGCCTTGTTTCTTTGAGGGTGTTCCCTAATATCCTACCAGCATCGTTGTAGGATTTCATAAGGTTCCGTACAGGATGACATCTGATATCTTAACAAGATTTTGGCAGGACTTTCTAAAGAGAACAGAAAATAAATGACAACATAGAGTATCAACCTCTAGACCTACAGTTTACATACCGATCAGCACACCGCGCTGGATTGTGTCATGTTAGTGTGCAGAAGCTCAACATTCGCTATCTTAATTTTTCCATATGAACTTGTGTTTTCGATTTTTTTTTGAAAAAAGTATCTTAATAAGAGCTTTTCAACCTAATATAATTTTTAATATTTTTCTCAGCATAGAATTCGTCTTCTTTTTTCTTGATTATGTTGTGGCTTTAAAAATTATATCGCCATTTTTCTCTACATTTGAAAAAAATTTCCGAGCGATACACTTAATAATATAAATATTCGATTAATCGGAAAAATGTTCGTTATATTATTCAAATTGATATTGATCTGCTACTTATTGTAAGATCCTCTCTCGATAAAAAAAGGTGCAAGACAAACCTTGTGACGCCGAGCTTCGATTAATTACTAAAACTATTTAAGAAAAATTCTATGAAAGAATTTTTTATTAGATTGTTTCAGAATTTCAATATTTTCTCTATTCAAGTCTCAAACTAACACCAAGACGAAAATCTTCCATAATCCAGTCGAAAATTCGGTGAGCTGCCATTTAGATTCTTGAAATAATGCCATGAGGATCCTTCAAGGATTCAAGTTTATTCTCTCAAGAAAGAAAAAAATCTTGAACGAAATGTGTAGTCATGAAATAATAAGATCCTGTCATGATTCTAAGAAGGATTTTATCAGGATCCTAACCGGTTTCCCGTTGTATGTATGACCAAGAAAACTTAACGAAATATAAAAATCCTATAAAGATCATGGAAACATGGAATCAGAGGATCCTGTCAAGATAATAAAAACAAGATTTTATCAGGATTCTGATTGGTTTCTTAGTGTATCCTCATTAGAAATAGACCAAAACCCAGCGAAATTCTGAGAAAATCGTTGACAAGGTGATAGAGAAAAATTTTCACATGAAGGTGTGATTAAAAACTTTAGCAAACTGTGAGAAAGCACAGAATATTCTGTTTTCTGTTCCTGCCAAGTTTCTAGATAAGATCATGAATGAATGCTTCTAGGATCCTCGATTATATATAGATTTCTTCGAAATTCTTGACAAGAACTTGATTAAATCCTGAAAAGGATCTTGTTTATTCCTGAAAAATCCTTCAAACAAGATTTAGCAGGAATTTAGATAGAACCCTGAATAAATCTTGGCAAGATCCTTCGTTTTAAGGACCCTGAATGATCCTTCCAAGATTTCTCGAGGAATGAACAGGATTAAGGCTAGGGGTAGACCAATATACTTTTCAACCAACTAGTCCTTGACTTCAACACTTTATTTTACTATTCTTTACATAAACCATTCGAGTAAGCACTGTTTCAGAATGCATCTAGCGTTACATAGTATCATTTAGTAGTATTTGCACAAAAGGAAGTCATGCTCCAGGAGAAAACGCTAGGAAAAGTTGGCGGTAGTTTTTCAATAACTGGAAACAAATAGTGAAAAACAGGAGTATTTTCGAAAATTCATAAAAACTAACATTTATTTAACCCTATAAGCTTTTGATCGCAGTCTTGATGCACACTCATGGAGGATAGCTTTGAAAGCTCAACAATAGTGGTTGCTTAGTTTGCTTCTATAGTTTGACGCTGAAAATTCAAATAAATATCGAGCAAAAAGCTAGAGGATCATTTGTGTTCAAGCATCATTATTTTCTAGTAGCGAAGTTTTAGAGCTAGAGGCATCTCAACTTCCTCAAACACAGTTGAAGAGATTTCCTTCCACAAAAATTTTCTGATGCATTTGTTTTCTGTACAGAATCATATGTAATTTCTAGCAAGGTCAAATCTCTTCGAATCCTAAGAAGAATACAATTTCGAATAGTTTTTCTCTACGTTGTAATTCACAAAAATGTGTTGGCAATTCGTACTGTGAACACTTAGTGGGAAGAGAGGAACTACAATAATTAATGTCTATTATTCATTTCATATAGAACTTTCTAGGACTTTTGGTGATGGGAAAATAATTACTGTGATACAAAAAACAATACTACGTAAGATTACAAGGGAGCATTCCTAAGTGATTTTCTCTGCTAACATACATATTCTGCCAATATGTAAGAGACTATTAGATTAGAATAATATCCAAAATGTGTGTGCTCTTGTTGCAATTTGATCGAAATTTCTAATTTTTCGTCGATTTTTCCTAAAGAACGTTCGTTTTGAGTAAAATTATGGTTTCAAATTTTGTTATAAAACTTCGTCAACATGGAGGTCTTGTGATGATTAGCTCATATATGAAGTCCCCACATATGGGTATAATATCAATATAAACAGAGTAGATCACTTGGGAATGTTCCTTCATTAGTGGTATAACCTACTGATCGAAAAATCCGCTAGACAGTGGTAATGAATAAGATATTCTGAAGTGGATACAATTTTAAAAAAACTTACGCTTGCTCAGTGTATTCTTGCGAAGTTTTGTGTGTTGACGAGCAGAGTAATGGTGTAATGAGTCGAAGCTATTCTATGCAAAAGAATAAAAGCATTATTTTGCTATTCATATCAAAAAGAAACTTTGGCTTGCGTGCATTCATCCGTATACGTGAAATAATGCATGATCATATATTATTGAGATATCTCTTTTTTTCCTACCTATATAATCGTTGTTTTGCTTGTTCTCTCACTCACTGTTCGAGCAGCTTTGTCGACGGAGAGAGAGAAAGAATAAATTGAAGGTTGCAAAAAATGTCCACTATACACGGCTTTATCTGTTTTTCTTTTCTATCGATGTGCAGGATAGATAAAATATTAAAGCTTTGCAAGCAATAGTCTGCTGCTCAGTATTCGTTGATCCTGGTAGAAACAAGCTTCAAAAGTCCCTTGTACGTATGAGAGAAAATATTGGTTTTTAACGCTACTTCTGGAATCATTTCTTGCCCATGGCCATGTTCCTTGTCAAAGACCGAGACTTGGATGCAGTCTCAGACTAAGTACCAACATCAAAAATAGGGCAGCATTTTCTGCGTTTCTACTTACACTTGCAGAAAAATATTTTACTTCATGACATGTTAAAAGTTTATCCTTCATTGAAACTCGTTCCAATACTCAGCATGCTAAAACAATTACCATAAAGAATAGTGTTTTTATTTTTTGTGATTGTTTAGCAACAATGGATGTAACATTGTTCTATTGATACCTTGTAAATTGCTGAATAATAAAAGTTAAAGAAAGAAAAATTAACATTCAAGAATATTTATTAGAAGATATTGTTCAGTTACTGAGTTTTCAACCAATCAATTTAACATCAACAAATCAAAAAAAGAAAACAAGAAAAATCGACAATTAGAACATGATAATAATGATTAGGGTGCGGGTGTGAGTATGGGCATGGATGTGGGTCAGAGAAGACCGACACCTACATCCTGATCCACACTGCCAGTCGCACACACACCCACATCCACACTCAACTTCGATAAATCTTGAAAGTGGCGAGTTTGTACAAAAGGATAGGAATCGGCAAATGTGAATGTCATTTGCATTTTCTCTCAGGAAGTTGAATGTTCACAATGTTTGATGGTACATAGGAAACGAATTTATCGAGACGAAATTGGTTTCAGATATGTCTCCTACATTGGACACTTTAAATGATGCTCTTCACTCGAAATGTTTGTTGACCCAAAACACAACAAATATTTTTCTGTCGACTATCATCGCTAATATTAAATTACATGAAAAGAAAACTTCGCTAAATAGATACAGATTACGATTGTTTGTCTCTTAGGTTGTTTCTAACTTGCATCAAAGTAATTCCCAATTGATTCCTTCCACTACCATCACCTCCATCTGCCCAATAGGAATCTTTTGTCGTATGTTCAACCAATTGACGATTACCAGTTGATATTAATAATTCTCGAAGCCAAAGGTGTTGTTCAAATTTAGCCATACATGCTTTAAGCATGATTCCATCTTTCACTTTTTCCCAATCTGATCGTACTGCTGATCGGTGTTTTCGAGAATAAAAAAGAGCTTCTATAGGTTTAGGTAATTGTAAAACATTTTGAAAGTGTGTTTCATCGGAGATAAATTTCTGCGCTTGAAAGTAATGTTCAGTGGTAGGCCAAGTATGTCCATCGAGTTCAATTGGAGATGGATAGAAATTACTGAATTCACCAAATGGATCGTTACGGTAGTAAAAATAAAGTGGACCTTCTTCCATGTTCGATTCAGAGAATAGAAAATAGTCGTTTTTTCTGCAGACACTTGCTTTTATTTATTACAGAATGAATGTGCAAACAGTATTTCGTAAGACATGTCAAATCTGACGTCTGTTGGAATGATTCATAAGTAATTGCACAATATATAAAAGAAAAATCGCCTACAAATATTTGATCAATGACAAATAATGATTCATTAAAGTTTTTGATCTCTTCAAAACTGAAATACTATTGATGGCAAACCATGTTATAGCACCTATCGCTGAAGAGTATGAAGACATTGAGAATGAAAGGATCATCAACTGTTCCCATCAGACTTTCTCAAATTAATCTTCATTCGTATCCTATTCGTTTAATACCTATATAATCATCTTTCTCAGATCCGCTGAACTTTGTGATTACTCATGATCCTAGACAAATACGTAGAACTAGAACAAAACCCTTGCTTATCTTTCACTAGAAAAATAGTTTTTCCTGGGTTCAAAAAGCATTCGTTGAAGATGGATGAATACGCTGACGTTTCATTCAGTGGTACCATCAGGTTCTGATGGTAGGATACTTAGCAGTGATGGGATCGGTTCGGTTTCAACTTTTTATACACATTTTTCATATACAATGCTGCTTTTTTCTCTTTTTTCCACATCAATTGATATACGTAGTTAAGAAGGAAATCATCACCAGTCACCTCTCATATCGATGGCCGAAAGCGTCCACCGAGTTAGAGAATACATCCGTCTATTCTTTTCTTCCTCAATGTTCTCTTTCTCTCATCTTCTTTCGCGTGACTTTTTTCCATTGATTACGAATACAAGTCAAGAAGGAGTAGGTCGTTTCCTCACAGGATTAAAAAGTCAGAGTTTTGATTTGCTATATAATACATTTAACATAGTCAACAAGCAGAAACTGATTATCGCAAATCATTGTTCTAAAAGAGAAAATATTTCTTGCAACTATATATTACACTATTAAAAAGTATGAAGAGCATGGTATAAATAATTTTCATTGCATCAAGGAGATCGTCATGCGAATGACTAAGATATTAAAGCATCTGGTTAATTACGAAGCTAGTAGTTGTTTACCTAGAATAGCTTAGAAATCTTAAGTCATCCTTTAAAAGATTAGTAACCATTTAAAAAGGATGAATATAAGATATTATAAGACACAAATCTCAAAATATGCGGATAAATAATCTGAAGAAATTCCAGCTCGTAGAACTCGTTTATATTACGTATTATTGTACAATGATCCTGTATTGATGATGAAATTTAAAGACTAGGCCGCAAGTCGACAAGTACGGGCCGGTTTTAGCAGAAAAACACCGAAAATCGCTGTAACATGGAAGCAGTATTCCCGCCGGAAATTTTTGGAATTTTTTCGGTGGATTCAGATCAACTTTTTGTGCTTTCCAGCAGGAACCGATCGGAAAATCATCGACAAAATGTTCGGCTGAAATACTGCTTCCATGCCCCCCCCCGCGATTTCTTGTGCATCCCTGCAGGAGCCGTTCTTCAGAATCATTGACCTGGAACGATCTCTGATTTGAAAATATCAAGTTGGAGTCATTGAGTCTGAAAAAAGAATTTCAAATCGTCCTTTATCACATCAAGAAATAGCATGGATTTTGTTGACTATAATACGTAATATAAACGAGTTCTACGAGCTGGAATTTCTTCAGATTATTTATCC